TTTTTCGCAACTCGTCGATTCCTCTATTATCGACTCCCTCGATCGTTCGATGATAACTCTTTGAGATCTAACGATTTATTTTTTATTCCGTGGAAATATTTTCGAATTTTTGTTTTATTTACATTTTTATTTTTTTATTATTATTATTATTTTTTGTTTATTCCAAGATTTGGAATTGGAGGATATTTTGAAAATATATTTAGACGGAATTTTAGATTTTAGTTTCAAGTTAAAAGGTGTTTATCGTATTTTGAATAAGAAAGAAATCGGATTATGAATAGGAAATTTTTCAAAATGATTGATTCTTTTTATTTTCTTAGAATTAGATTCAATTTTTTCTTTTTTATTTTATATTTAATTAATGTGTTAGATATATATATATATTTTTTAATTCTTTATTAATGTACGCAATGTCTATCTAAAATTGACGCGAGTCAAGAAACTTGAGTGAAAGAAACTTTTTCAGATCGTTCTCGAATGGAGATGCAAACTATTACCTATAACTATTTATATCTTTAACTTGGCAAGAATCGATCGACAAGAGGAACGACGAATAAGAGAAAAAACAGAAAATAGAATTTTTTTTCGATAAACACTGCTTCGAAATACTACTATAAAAAATTGTATAAAAATTTCGAAAGAAGCGATGATATAGGTAATATTTTTTCGACAAACATTATTTTGAAAACTATTATAAGAAATGATATAAAAGTTTCGAAAGAAGCAACGAAATAAACTTATTTTTTCGATAAACATTTATAAGAAATGGAATAAAAATTTCGAAAGAAGAATAAGAGAAACAACAGAAAATAAACTTATTTTTTCGATAAACACTGTTTCGAAAACTGCTATAAGAAATGATATAAAAATTTCGAAAGAAGCAACGAAATAAACTTATTTTTTCAATAAATATTTATAAGAAATGGAATAAAAATTTCGAAAGAAGAATAAGAGAAACAACAGAAAATAAACTTATTTTTTCGATAAACACTGTTTCGAAATATTTATAAGAGATGGAATAAAAATTTCGAAAGAAGAATAAGAGAAACAACAGAAAATAAACTTATTTTTTCGATAAACACTGTTTCGAAATATTTATAAGAGATGGAATAAAAATTTCGAAAGAAGAATAAGAGAAACAACAGAAAATAGATTTATTTTTTTGATAAACACTGGTTCGAAAACTGTTATAAGAAATGATATAAAAATTTCGAAAGAAGCAACGAAATAAACTTATTTTTTCGATAAACATTTATAAGAAATGGAATAAAAATTTCGAAAGAAGCAACGAAATAAACTTATTTTTTCGATAAACATTTATAAGAAATGGAATAAAAATTTCGAAAGAAGCAACGAAATAGATTATTTCTTCGATAAACACTGTTTCAAAACACTGTTATATAAAATTGTATAAAAATTTCAAAAAAAGCAACGAATAAGAGAAGCAGAACAGAAAATGGATTTACTTTTTTCGATAAACACTGTTATAAGAAATGAGTATAAAAGAAGATAATAATATAAATATAAGAATATATATATATATATAAAGAATATAAAAAGAAAGAAGAGACAAAATAGACTTATTTTTTCGATAAACACTGTTATAAGAGATGGAACAAAAATTTCGAAAGAGTACAATTTCTATGAAGAAATTGAATCCACTTTTTAATAATAATAATGGAGAAGGTCTTTTTTTTTTTTTTTTTTTCTTTCAAATCAAAAAAGGAAAAAAGAAATGATACTCACTTTCACCAACACGCTGTCCACCCATTCGAATTTTCCACCGGCGTTCAGGCATCTGTCCTTGTTCACGGCGATCGATAGATCGGCCAGCTTTTTCTCGATCTCGAGTAATTCCGACTCGCGGTGGACCTCGAGCCTTTTCATCGCAGACACGAGCCTCGATAATTCCTCGGTTTTACGTAGGAACAGCTTCGTCTCGGACGACATGGTCGTTTCCATTGTTTCCCCTTCGCCATCTGATTTTTCGGGACAAAAGTTTCGTGAAATATCGTGAATCGTGAATCTCGAAGAAAAATGGGGAAGCAGGGAGAAAAAATCGAATTGATAATTTTTATTTCCAACTTTATCTTCGACTTTTTGTGTACCAAACTTATGAATCGATAACATTTCGAAAAGAAAAACAAGGGGAAAAAATAATTTGGAACACTTTATTCGACGTGGATAGATAGATTTCTTGATTTTTGTTTAGGTAATTTTAGAAGAGAAGACAAATGTCGAAAATATTTATAACGTATGACTGATCGTTTTTGGAAAAGAAAAATAATTTGGAAGTGAATGGATTTATATTTTTCGTTACATGATTTTTAAAGGAAAAGAAAATATGTATAACGAAAATATGTATAACGTATGACTGATGATTTTTCGAGAAGAAGGAAAAATAATTTGGAAAACTTTATTCGAAATAAATGGATTTCTATTTTTTGTTAGATGATTTTAAAGAAATATCGAAAATATGTATAACATATGACTGATGATTTTTCGAAAAAAAAGAAAAATAATTTGGAAAACTTTATTCGAAATAAATGGATTTCTATTTTTCGTTAGATGATTTTAAAGGAGAAGACAAATATCGAAAATATGTATAACTGATGATTTTTTGAGAAAAAG